ATTTTAATTATTTTTATTTCCAAACTGATTTTAACCAGTTCTATAGTAAGGTAACATTCCAATAGACAATATGCAAAGCTTTTTTTTCAGTTTACAGCAGTATTTATTACACAAAATTTAAGTAAAGCTTAACATGCCGATCTTGCCCCGATCTCCCCTAATTCATTTCCATTAAATTTTCTTGTATGACTTTTAACATACCTTGCACTTTTATTTTATAACAAATTAAATCAGTTATTAGTTCCAAATAGTTTATGGTAAGTTATCCATAACAAAACATTGTAACAATTAATTTGTTTAAATTATGCCAAAAATTAACACTTGTGGTATAAAGTCTCAATTTGAGAAATGACCTCCAAATAGTTTTCAAAATTGACTACTAATTTTTTGAAGCCTTGCCTAATAATTTAGCCTTGAAAAAGTTATTAAGCTATACTTGATAAAATTTGTTAATACGTTAATAATAATAAACTAATCAACATTTTGTGATGACATACCTACAGTCAGTTATAATTCACCGTAATACTGAAAAAGTTATTTAAATACAGTATATGATTTATTTGCAGTAATTTTAAAACGAAATTTATATAATAAAATGCATTAAAGAAATTTATTAGAATGTTTTATGAAGATCAGTTTTTAGTGTTCATTCAACAATTATATTCTTCTTTACAATTATATTATGTCTTTACTTTATTAAAAGAAAATTATTAAAGAGAAGGCTAATTAAGTAATATTCATGAAAACTAGAAGTGTTTATAAACCATATGCATGGTTTTATAGTGTTTTTATGCTGTGTAATAAAACATTGTAAATATTCTACTACTGCAATTATTGCACATTTGCCTTAGTAACGCCTGTATATATTAATATTTGATTTATAATAAAGGCTTTTTAAATCTGTTTAATAAATAAACTAAGCACAAAAGTATTTATGAAAACTGTTTTAAAATTTCTATTACTATTATAGCATATACATGATTAAATAAAAATTAACTTTCAATCGAATAAATTGTTCACTTTTAAAGATATTTAATTTTTCACAACGTAAACACTATAAACACAATATTATTATTAAATAAATTATTATTCTATTTGGAACCACAAAATTTTTCTTTAATTTGCATATATAACTCAAAAATTCCTGTTATGATTAATATATATAAAATAATTCTTAAATTTCATGCAATTTTGTGCTTTGGTGGCCACTATATTTTCAGAAATATATCTTACAATCTTAAAGTAAGCAAATAAAAAACTCCTAAGAGATACAGATGCAGTTTAAATAGATAATTGTTTATCTGTTTAACTTAGAGATTTATTACTTGATAGCAACAGTATTGACCTTATTTCAGAAAATAACCTACAATAAAGATTTCATTATTTGGAAATTTTAAGTTTTCAAAACGTCACCCTCATCTAAGAAGAGGAAAGGAAAAAAAGAGGAATGAATGGCTGTATTGATGTTGTAACTTCTGTATTACAAGAATTTTTTTATTGGGATTTTAATTACAGGTTTCATTGGTTGCTACTGGACACATTAATTATAAGGTTGTGCCAAAACCAGTTCAGTTACTCTGCAGTTTTAGCAACTAGAGATCTTTCAAATTTTATATTTACCAAACGAATATCTTGCATTAGTTCATAGTTACTGTATATAATANAAAATATTATATGGAATTGAACGAAAATGAAAATTTGCTTGATAATTCAACTACGCTTGTTGGAGAACAATAAAAACACTACACTCAACAAGCCACCAATAAAACTCAACTGCCTAACCTATAACCAGTCTCCTTTTAATTTGTTTTTAAAAAAATGCGCTTGACAAACTTGCCCTGCATGCCGAAGTTTCCCCGGTCTCCCCTATTATGTACTACATATAGATTTGATCTTACCATTTTTATAAGTATGTAATTTGTCAGATTACAGGATACTCCTTTTCAAAAAAGTTACGGACTACAAGGGGTCAGTGGCAGTACTCTATAGTCCGACAAATTCGATCATCCGACACTACCTTGCAAAACGTTTGTTGGATTACTACAGGTCTACTGTAATTACCTCTGTTATTATTTTCAATAGATTCGCTGTGCCCTCTAAATGCCAATTCTTGCTTTGATAAAAACATAAAACATCTATTAATTTAGGCATAATACAGTAAATTTTAGTGGAAATGTTGATTATATAGAAATAAATATAAACATATCCTAATTTATGTTAGTATCTTTAGAATAAAATGTACTAATATATCTGTGGGATATGTTGTATATATTCCTAAATAGAGAAAATATAAAAAGATCGTTTTGAGATATAATTGAAAATGCTCTTTCTTGTCGCCTTTGACCTCATAAACAGTTTGTGTACATTAACTGTACGATACAGAACTCATTAGGAGATTAAGAATAAGTGTAATGTTCTTTTTCATTGATGAATTATATTAAAAAGTCAATGCCCGACAATTTATAAATATAAATAGATTATTTTTAATTAATGCTTTTGACATAATACAGAGCAAAGAATCCAAAGAAAGAAAAAAAGAAAAAAAATTAAAGACAATGAAATATAGCTCTATCATAACTTTGATTCCTATTTAGGGCAAAAAATCTATAAAAGTATATAAAATGTCGCCGTTTGTCCGTCCTAGAAAAGTGAAATGTTGACTAATAAAAATAGTTATAAAAAAAACTTTTATCGAGAACAAGTTATCTATCAACCCTCGGTGTTCTTTTGCTACCTTTGGAGATGAATTATAAAATCCGTATGAATAAAATTTTAAATTTACATTTAACACATTTAAAAGTTGTTTTACCTGTTTCAGTGGATTTTAAACAACTTTAAAAATAAGTTCCAAACAACTTATAACTTTAAGCCATATAAAGAGAGACCCGAGCAATTAGTTAAACTCGACATTCTTCTATTAAGCTAGCCTGTTTTGCTAACCCCGTTATATCAATTATTTAATTTACACATAATTCTTCCCTATATTTAAATAAATTACGCTATTCTCTTTTATTTGCAGTTCCTGTTTGCATATAATCAGTTTCTAATTAATCCTGTTTCCTCATTCCTCTTCATTTTTTTTTAATTTGTCATTTACTACTTGTTAAATGATATCAAATGTTCAAAGAACATAGGAGGTACCTCCTTACATGAACTAGTCTTAGACTAACTACTATCGACATTTAAGAATTATTAAACTGGTTTCAACATATAATTTAGAATCACTTTTCTATGCTTATTAAAAAAGTGATGATAATTCTGGCATTTTTAAATAAGTTTCATTCAATCGGAAAAAAAGTTGATTTAGTAAACTTTAGAAAAACGCGTGAATTTGAATAATAATTTAAGATTTATAATAATTTTCCGGCAGAACAATCTATAGTTCAAAGTAGATAAGTTTATGTTCTTTTCAAATCAGGCAATTGTATAGGCCCTATTAATAATTTATAAACAATAGTTATGTGAATGTATGCTGAACATAAAACGTGTTTTTCACTGTAATTAAATTTTGGTGAGTAATTTGCATCTACAGTTTACATTATCAATTGGGAAAAACTGGTTATAGCTGACTAATTTGGTTTGTTTAGCATATTGTCATATTTATGTCTATCATCTTTTATATCAACTGCAAACATTTTTATTCTTATTCATAATATAAAGTAATACAATTTAAATCAATCTATAAACAAAATTTTATTTAAATTATTTCAGTACAAAAAAAAAATGAGAATTAAATCCTAAAATCAATGTTCCAATTTTTCTTTATAAATTTTTATCTGATACATACACGATTTCAACGATTAATTATCAATGTATTTTTTATAATTTAAAATAAATGCTGATATTTAAAAAATTTATAGGAAGTAGATATTTTCACTTTTTCACTAATGATGCAATATTTACATGATATAAATATTATTTAAAACATTGTATATGTAACTGGAAGACAGCATATCTTGCCCATATTCTTTGGATATTTTTTGTTTATAAACAAATTTATCATTTTGACAGCTATCACATTTGTATTCGTAAAATATTTCATAGAGGTTTGTAATAGTGTACTGACTTTATTCAACAGTGATGAATCACAAGTCTTGTTATGTGTCATTTTCGCTTTTAATCAAATTAATATTCCAACGTAATTATTATAATTTCAATTTATAATAAAAACAATTTTACATATATCTTACAATCTTAAAGTAAGCAAATAAAAAACTCCTAAGAGATACAGATGCAGTTTAAATAGATAATTGTTTATCTGTTTAACTTAGAGATTTATTACTTGATAGCAACAGTATTGACCTTATTTCAGAAAATAACCTACAATAAAGATTTCATTATTTGGAAATTTTAAGTTTTCAAAACGTCACCCTCATCTAAGAAGAGGAAAGGAAAAAAAGAGGAATGAATGGCTGTATTGATGTTGTAACTTCTGTATTACAAGAATTTTTTTATTGGGATTTTAATTACAGGTTTCATTGGTTGCTACTGGACACATTAATTATAAGGTTGTGCCAAAACCAGTTCAGTTACTCTGCAGTTTTAGCAACTAGAGATCTTTCAAATTTTATATTTACCAAACGAATATCTTGCATTAGTTCATAGTTACTGTATATAATAAACCTTGTATTAATTAAAAGATGTTTAAATTTACAAGTTTTTAATACTATGTTTGGAAATTCTAAATTTAATTATACAGGGCTCTAGTAATTTGTTTTTAAATTGATTTTACTTCAAACTTGTTTTTATATATTATTTATGTACTATTTTTTTATTTACTTTATTTTCAGTAAAGCTTTTTAGAGGCATTAAAAATCGTTTTTATTAGGCAATGTTATAAACAGTAACTACATTGGATGCATTAGCTCAAATGGAAAATTATGTGATGGTTTATGAAAAAACTGATTCATTAATTAATAGAGAATAACACATTAACAATATATATTTTTTAATTTTAAAAGAAAAAGAATCCAATTTATTTAAAATTTCAACAAACTCAAATAATAATTATATGAAATATTTCCACTTATGTAATACTTTTAGTGTTAAATACAGTAAATTTTAGTGGAAATGTTAATTATATACAAATAAATATAAACATCCTAATTTACGTTAGTATCTTTAGAATAAAATGTACTAATATATCTGTGGGATATGTTGTATATATTCCTAAATAGAGAAAATATAAAAAGATCGTTTTGAGATATAATTGAAAATGCTCTTTCTTGTCGCCTTTGACCTCATAAACAGTTTGTGTACATTAACTGTACGATACAGAACTCATTAGGAGATTAAGAATAAGTGTAATGTTCTTTTTCATTGATGAATTATATTAAAAAGTCAATGCCCGACANCAAATCTTATTTTTATTTTTTTATGCGTGTAAATAAGTTTATATCGTAATAAAAATTATCTCTCATCTGCTCTTAATTTGACCAATTTGCGGTCCTTTTGGTAAAATAAATGAGCTGATGCATGACATATTTTAAGAATTATTAAACAGGTCACATGAGGTTTTAATATGAAATTATATAACGAATACTCGCGCTATGATAATGTGTTAAGAATGAATTATTTGTATAGTTGATCACGATTCAATTTTACAAATAAGTACGAGAAATTCAAGGATTCACTTTTCTACATATAGTATGGTTGCACATAAACGATATGTACTGTTCTGTACTTTATTGCTTATAAAAATCTAATAACTGTCTTGACAATAATCAAACGTTTTGTAAAAATGCTCTGATTATGATTTAATAATCAGGAAACAAGTTGAAATTTAATGCACATTAATCACATCTGGCATATGATAGTTGTTTGTGCAATGAACGAGTTTAGTTCACTTCCTGTTTAGTTTTTGCCAAAGTTTTACTTTCTGTTAGAACGAATATTTGCATATTAGTTTATGTTTATCTTCATCATATGATAACATTTTTTTTCAATTAAGAAATGAATTTACACTCTCATATTTAATAAGTATTAATAATGGTTGTAACTACTACCATTTTATGTAATTAGTTACGGTATTTCGTTCTAAATAAAATAAAATATTTTGATTTTTTGCTTTTTTCCGCTCTCTAATTTTAACTTCTATTAAAAATACAAATTTTATCTTAATATATCTTTCAAGATTCCGGTATAGATCCGTTATCATTATTAAAAGCCTTTATCTATTTCTCATATATGATTATATTTAAGTTTATAGTAAACGTTTATAAAACAGTATATTGATTATATAATCCAACTAAAGTTTATCTAGTCACCGAATGATAGATTGTGTATCTTAATAGATATTTATCAATAATAAAATAAATTTTGCGTGGGCAGATGGAAACGCCTTAGCAACTGTAGGCCTAAGTACTTACAGAAAGGGTGCTCTAATTTAATATTTAAATTGAAATAAGGCTATTGAATGTGACTTTAAACCCACCTAAATCTATTTTAATGATAAATTAAATAAAGTACGTAAAATTCTGAAACTTAAATATAAATTTTTCTGAGAAAATGACAATTTTTGAAGTTGTAATCCAATATTTTAAAACTTTCCGCGTTGCAGCCACTGTGAAGGTTATGTCATACTTGTAATGGGGATTTATAGTAAAAAAAAAAAAAAAAAAATTGGATAAACAGTAGTATATTCAATCAACCCCATCCATAAAATTTCTAGAAATTTGACTCGAGCTCTGACTTGAATTTGAATACGGATCTATCAAAGCAGCAAGTTGATGCATTTCCATCTTGACATCGCATAATTCACTACGATAATCATTTCTATTCATTTTACTGGACTACTGAGATATGCGGAATTTATATGAAATAAAAACTATGAATGGTGTCAAAGTATCCTATATATAATTGAGAGAATGAGGGAAAAGTGATTATTAAAGTAAAAATCATTTTTATTTTAATTTTATCAGGTAATTTTGTCTTTATTAAGTTTATAGCAGCTTCCACTCCAAAAAATATTCATAACAGAAAATGAATCTTTAGTTAATCTGTGAATACTTAATTTTTATTTACAGTAGAGCGTCGTTTATCCGAATCAATTGGGGACTGGGGTGGTTCGGATAACTTATTTTTCGGATAACGAATCATGTACGAAAAAATATATTAATTTATCCCGTGTTGAAATTTTTCTCCGTTGCGTGTCGCTTCACGTTGAATTTTCGTCGATGTTAAGCCTAACGAAGACTATTGTATCGTTAAAAATTATTTTTTTATTTTGTACAAACAAAATAAATATATTGAAAAATATAAAAACAATAAAAAATTATACTTCAGAAGTTAATTTAGTATAAAAAATGTAAAATATTTGAGTAGCCCAAGACATAGCCGAAGATTGCAGAGCGCCACAGCACTAGCGAAAATTTAAATTTGCCGACTGGAATGCTTTCCGATAACAGACGTTTCGGATAACCGACCTTCGGATAAACGACGCTCTACTGTATATACATATTGTGTGAGAGTATAGTTGAAAATTTATTTTTCACTTAACAAAATAGTTTCTATTTTAATTAATGAAAACTAAAGTGTTAACTAATTTTTTTTATAAAAGTTAGATTTAAATTAATGTTATCTTTATGTCTTATCTAATTTTCAAATAATTTCAATATTCAATTATTTTACATGATTTTACATATTCACTTCTGTTGGATTAAAAAAGAATCCGATCATTGAATTACATTACAAATTTTTTGAGAAATTTCTAAAAAACTTTATATTGTATAGAAAAGAGAAATTATCCAGGGCATATATACTGTAAGCATGTTTTGAAATGTGATGTTTTTTTTTAAATAATAAAAATTTTTAAATTATTTTATAATTTCATTGCCATTATCTCATTAAATATGAAATTAATTTTAGAATCATTTGTTTTTGGGAAAATGAAAAATTATGTGCATTACAAATTATGAAAATAACAATTAATTTAAATTTTCTATTGAATTACAGTGTTTTCCAGACCCAATTCCTTCTGAAAGATTTTTTTTTAAAATTTAACATGTTTTTCAATTTAATGTAAAGGTACAGCAAAAGAAACAATTAGAAATTATGTCAAGACTTGAAGTATCTTATTTAAACATTTCAATTTTTTAAACATAACTTTGATCATGTAATGACATTTGATAACTTTTTTGATTGAATTATCTCAGGTCAAAAAATTAGAGAAAAAAAATGCTTTTAAATACTATAATGTTTGGAATTACTAAATTTTAACAACAAAGATTTAATATTAAGTGAACATAATTGAATTGTATGATGATGATATTAAATTTTTTCAAGTATACATCAGTGGCGTAGCGTGGGTGTCAGCCGCCCAGGGCGGAGGAAAATTTCGCCGGTCCCTTATTTAGGTATCTCAATTTAAAAGACTAAAATTCAGTTTCATCACAGAATAAGTAATGAAAAATTCCGTGCTCATTTCAATCGGTCCGAATCGTAGGTGCGACAAAAATATGAAATGAAATGGTTTAAATTTTTATAAGATATTATTATTATTTATTGTGAAATTTTGCCGCCCCCTAAAAAGTGACGCCCGGGGCTGGCCGCCCCTGCCGCCCCCACTACGCTACGCCACTGGTACACATCTTTGTTTTACTTTCCCAGCTGTTATAACATAAAACGGGAAAGCATTGTAATCGAATCAAATTTGACCCTCTGGGTTTATTGCAAATGTCGACGTTTTGATACCCCTGAACCCAAAAAAACGGGAAAAACTTACCGAGATGTGTTTGTGTTGGCATCTATTTCGTTTAATATCTGGGATAATAATGGGATAAAGATTAAAAAACGAAATTTGGCATGGTAACTTGTATAAAGGGTCATTGGATGCGTTCTTTTATACCTCCGCGTAACTCCGCGCGAGCGACATCCGTTTAAAAATTCCTGCGGAACGCGTTCCTAAATTCCGGTCGGAGTGCGCGCTATCAAACTGCAAAAACGGCCGCTTGTAGCAGTAGTTTGCGGTGGAAAGCAACATGGCGTCCTCCATGGCTCATTGATTAATGTTGGAGTAAGGAACTCAAGAGGGTAGGGAGTAGGTTGCCGCCTTTTTCAAAATCGCTGACCCGGACGGCACGTCAGGTTTGTTCGAACAGAAGTTCTTGACACATGCGCAATGTCATTTTACAATGCGAAGAATAACGTGCTAGATAACTTAGCCCATAGACGTGTACGATCGTACATGCAGGAAAAAAAAAAAAAAAAAGTCAGGTTGCGCGCTACACGTCGGCGTAAACGGACGAACATTGCAGAATTGCAGATGAGTTTCAGTGAGTGTGAGTTCTTTCGTTGTTAAAATAGTGTAAATTTGTAAAAATATTTGCAAGAACTTTGTTTCATCGTAATTTCACAATTTATACGAAATTTCCGGACAAAATTAATAGTTCACCCAGACAGTCAATTCCCGGACTGTCTGGGTGAAAACCGGACGGGTGGTAACACTACTAGGGAGATAGAAGGGAGTCATGTATCATATCTCGAGTGGGATCGGACTTAATTAAAAATTTTACTCGTTGTTAGCATTTACAATATTTTAAAACTCGTCTCTATCCTCAAAATTGAGTTTTTTGCCTTTTTATAACATTAAAAAAAATAACTTTTATATTATTAACTTTTATAAAAGGGCAAAAAGCTTAACTTTGAGGGTATAGACGAGTTAAAAAAAATTGTAAACACTAATAACGAGTAAAATCATTAAGCCCGACCCCACTATAGATATGACACACGACCTTTAGATACACCAAATTTTAATAATCAATATTTAAAAATTAATATATGTATAAACATTAGAAACAAAATAATAATAATAATAATAATAAGACGAACTAAAATATTTTCTAAATTAAAAAAAATCTATATTGCAAGGTGTATAAATAAGAAAATGAGAAGAAAAAAAGATCAATATTTAATCAGTTTTTGGGGTTATAGGGGATACGATATTGTTTGTGTAAGGCGATTTTATTGCCGGGTGANGCTTATAAACCTTAGTTTAATTTATAAAAACCAACATTTTCGAATTTCCTTAAACATGTACAGGTTTCTGCATTTTCTTTTTTTGTTTTTTTTTTCATTTTTAGAGATAAAAATGAACTTATCTGCTTAAAACATAAGAAAAAGGTTCAAGTAATAAATTTAAATTGATAGGAATGAAACCTATGTCAATTAAAATTAAAAATGAATATGCTTATTTTAAATAATTTTTATAACATGTTTATCAAAAATCAGTTTAAAAGTTTATTCATGGTCTGTATTATAAAATGTAAAAGGATATTTAACTTACATCATTCTAATCATTTTTGGCTTCTAAACTTTGTTGATAGTGAAGTAATTTCTCATTTCATTTTATAACCATTTATTATCTTGGAACAAAATTATTATAGAAACAACTGCATTTGTTTCTATAATAATTTATAGAAACAAATGCAGTTGTTTCTATAAATTAGAAACAATTCTAAACTCTAGATTTTAAAATATTCTTGTGACAATAAGACATATTAAGAATATGTCTTATTGTTTGATTTTTAAAATAGAAAATACATTAGTTTTCAACAAAAACTAGTTTATTAGTAATACAAAATAATTAAAATCCCAAATACTTTTGAATTGAAAATTTATCTTCACAGAGTTGAATTATAATGTTAAAATTTTAATTAGGAAATTTTTTGTTGTTTCTCAAAACAAATGAATTAATTATTTTTGCAATTTAAGTGAAATACAATACAATGCAAACTAAACAGAATAGACATAAGTCTGTCTTATTTAATGTTCAAACAATCTAATCTAAATCACAAAATTTGAAAGACTGAATTTTCTCTTTGAAATTTTCTGAATGTAAAATTTCAAGAGCAAGATTTACTGCTATAATGTTAAAATAAAAAAGTATTAAAGAAGTATTTTAATAAAAAATATTTTGCATTAAATTTTTCTATTAATCTACTGTATAACTAGACTTAACTAAAAAAACTGATGTAAATCGAATAAATTAAAAAGTTTAAATATTATTAGTAAATTAATAATAATTAATTAATATTTTTAGTTTGAATAAAAAATGGTCAAATTTTTTTTCACTTTGTTAAAGATTAGAAAAAATTTAGAAATCTAATTAAATTTTCATGATTTTAAATGAATGAATTTGAAAGTTTAGACACTTTTATATCTAATTTTCTCCATTTCGTGAAAAAATTACATAATTTTTTTTTGCATTTTATATGAAATGTTCTGAAAAATGTTAATTTGAAATCATTAATAATATTTTGAATCTCAGCATTTCTATTAAAAGAAATTTTATAGTTAAATTAAATTAAATGTGCTTAAAATAGCTTTATTTCTTTGTTTTACTCTTACTGTCATTTTAAAATTATTGACGTTTCTTGCATTTTTGAAGTTTATATTTACAGTTTTGTTATCAGAACTGAAATATTCTCTATCATTCATCTACAATATTTTAAAATATTTTTTTAAAGTTTTATTTACTATTTTAAGTAAATAAATATCTAAAATTATATAAATATATTATAATATNGATTAAATATATTTTAAAATTAATTTTTAAATATTTTTAGGGATCTTTCTGTTTACTTCTTCATAATGGATTAATTCTATTTTCTGTTTTTTACACATTTGGAAATATAACATCTTTATCCAGGTAATAATTATTCAATGTTTAAATCAATTAAATAAATATTATTATTATTATTATTATAATTAATCATTAATATATTGTCGAAATTTGCATATTATATTTATGCATCATACTTATATTGTTACTGATAATTTATTTTACATGGGTCATTGAGATGCATGACCTAGATTTCCTGGTCATGGAGAAAACTGAAGTGCCCATAGTGATACCGTTCCCTGTAAAATTAATGTTATTTTTACTAAATGAAATTAAAATCTTTAAGAATGCTTTTTATTAATAAAGACCCATTCTATGTATTTCATTTGTACAAAAAACAAAAGACTTAATTAAGGGGCCTGCTCTCCCCCACATGGCCCTATTTATATATAAAAATAAATTTTCTTTAGTTAACTTTTTCTAATAGTAAAACTATAATTATTTTAATCATTCATTTATATTGTTAATCATAATTTTATTTATATATTTAGAAATGATTATGATAAAATTTACTGTAAAATTTGAACTAAAAATTATTATCATTTTTAGGCTTGTAAAGGTTGTGAAATTCAACATTGTATATGTCAAGGTGAAAAGGGATGGCCTGTAAGTTTTTGTCTCATTTCATATATTATACTTTACATTACAGAATTAAGCTTTTGTTTTTACATAAAACAATTTTAATTAATTATTAATTTACAATAAAGAGCATTTCAAATATGATAGAGTTAAAAATTAACCAAACTTTCAAAGTAAGCTCCTTCTATAACTACAGTATATAATTTCCCCAGCATTCACACTACTTGTCAAAGCATTCCTGAAAGCCATTTTTTGTGATGTTTTTAAGGGATTTTTGTCACTGTGACTTCTACTTCTGCTGATTGAAACTTATAACTTTTCAACTTCTTTTTTATTTCAGAGTACAGATAAAAATCTGCAGGGGCAATCAATATCAGGAATGTAAGGAGGTAAAACAAATAAATAAATAAAAACAAGAACTTATACTGGAAAGAATATAAATAAAATAAAATAAACCTTTAACTATCCAGCAATAAATAATGTTTAATAAAAACGTTTTCAACCGTTTTTAAACGGCCATTTTCAGTTGAACCAATATTAAAAAAAGGAACACTAAAAAAAGAACGCATGAAATACAAATTAAACAGAAACCGAAATGCGCATGCATACTTCATCGGACTTGTGTCTTCTGAAAATCTATAAATAACTTGCAAATAACAGAAAAAAATAATAAAGCCGCCAAAAAAAGGGGGAGGAGAATATACGTTGATTACAAGGTGTTAATCTGCGTTATTGTAAAAGGATTTCCAGGCATAAGATAACCCTTCCACATCTCTATGATTAATGCATCCCTTATTTATGTGTGCCTTGTGTATCTCTATCTTTTCAAGGTGTTTCAATGCCTGTCTGGAATTCGTGGCTCTAATGATCGAGACTTGATCCCAATATACCTCAGCCTCTTGCTGTTTGGCAAATGCTGTGAGCACTGTGGCATCTATATTCTTACTCACAGAGTATTTATGTTCCTTTAATCTTTGTTTTAACTGCCGCGTAGTAGCACCCACGTAAACAAGGTCTGAGTTGAACCGCTGATCCTTTATAGGTATAGAATAAACCCCTGGTAAATTATTTCGCTTTTCCTTTCTCTTATCATTTCTTAACCTTCTGTAGATCGTCGGATTACGCCGATATACTATTTGTAGATTATTACTGTTCGCCACTCTCCTAATCATTTTGTTTAAAAAAGGAAAATAATTAAGAACTACTCTTCGTTCCTGGGTCATTTTTTTGGGATGCTGCCGATTCTGATTCTGAAACTTCGTAATAAGCTCGTCCACCTCCCTCCTCCGATAACCTTGTTGCATTGCTGTCTTCCTGATGTAATCCAACTCTTTGTAAGTATCATAGATACTCGTGCAATGCATATATGCCCGTTTAATCCATGACCGAATGGCTGCATATTTAATGTGCCTAGGATCGATGGAATTCCTGGGAATAATGATAGGTTGATAAACTGGTTTGCGATAAATGTCCGTCCAGATTTCTCCTTCCTTGCATTTGATAGATAAATCGAGGAAGTTAATATTACTACTACTCTCTTGCTCTAGACCCAAAGTTAAACCATATGGGTTATTGTTGACTGTGTTTAAAAAACATTGCACGTTGTTATCATTTCTCCATAGAATGAAAATATCATCTACATATCTTGAGTATACTATTTTTTGGCGGCTTTATTATTTTTTTATGTTATTTGCAAGTTATTTATAGATTTTCAGAAGACGCAAGTCCGATGAAGTACGCATGCGCATTTCGGTTTTTGTTTAATTTGTATTTCATGCGTTCTTTTTTTAGTGTTCTGTTTTTAATATTGGTTCAACTGAAAATGGCCGTTTAAAAACGGTTGAAAACGTTTTTATTAAACATTATTTATTGCTGGATAGTTAAAGGTAAAACAAAGTAATCAACCTATTTTCCAGCAATTTATATGAAAACTAACAAATGTTTTCAGACACTTTTATCAGTCAACAGGTTACACCTTTATTTAAATTTGAACAATTCAAACAATTCAAATGTTGGAAAACATGTAGTTGGAAGGAGTAAGGTGGAGCAAGGCAAATGTTGGAAGGCATGAAGAATGGTTTCATATTATATATTACATTAACTTTGTCAAGAAATTTGTAATCTTATAATTTTATATTTGTTTAAATTATTTAGAATATTTTCAAATGATTCAAATTGCTATTTTTTCTCAATTATTCAATTTTCTCTTATCATGCATATAACTGACAATTGCAATATACTTTTACTTATTGTTAGACTGCATTAAATCACAGATATCAAAAAACACCACTAATATTATCTTCTCTTTTGATTTATCAGCCCTAAACGTTATCTATTGTGTTGAACTGAATGATTTCCATGTTGAGGATTGATATTTTATATGAGGGTTGTAGAGTAAACATCATATTTCATTGCCAATGATCACTCTACTCATTAAATAGGAATCCTGATCTATCAACTCATCACTCACTAAAACATGAACTTCATATTTTTTATCTGTTAAATCTGTTGGAACACAGTACTAGCATATATAATGCATGTTTAAATTGTTGATGAATAGTGAGTACACAGATCAATAAGAAAATCCCAAATTGTTTGCTAGGTCATTGATGTCAAACATTTTGTCTAATCTCTTTCCTTGGTCTTTATCATCTCATCATTCTTTACAATAGCAGGTCTCCCAGGATGAGGGTTATCTTCAATCAGTTTCTGAATTTTTAAACCACTTATTCTACTTTATAAACTTGTACTTTAATACAAATACAGATTTATAAAGTAGAATAAGTGGTATTACAGTACACAACAAAGAAATCATATGATTTCTATGCTGTTTATTTCATAGAGCATACTGAAAGTTTTTGTGAATGTTTTAAGTATGAAAATTTTATATGAAGTTTCATATAAAATTTGATGCTTATTTGCTACTTCAGATGCATCTCTTCTTATCAAATAAGTTTCTCAGATACTTCTGTATTTCTTATATAAATTCATATACCTGTAGTTTCCTGTACCAGATTCATTTTTGCTGTGCTGCTTGTAATGGAGATAGAGGCTATAAGTGATAGTTACACAATCTTAACTTACAAGAAACTGACTCTATCTCTCAGTCTCATATATTGTAAAAAATCCAAACTTTTGGATTTTTTACAATATATGTTATTTTTGACTTTACCTCATATTTGAAATGTCATTCACTCTATTTTAACATGGAAAATTAAATTTGGAGTGTTTAAATTATAAATAATGAATAACAAATTATCATAGGGAGTACCTGGATTACCAGGCTTCAAAGGCCATCCTGGTCCACCTGGAGAAGCTGGTCCCATTGGACCTCCTGGAAGAATAGGGTTAAAAGGATCTATTGGTGATTTTGGAGCACCTGGACCAAAAGGAATCAGAGTATGTTTTTGCTTTTTATAAATACACATTTCACATATTTAATATAACAATAAATTAATATTTATTTTAAAGTTTTAAGTTGAAGATACATTTAAAGATTTAGAAAATAAAATTTTAATTTTAAATATTCTATTAAATTGAAAAAGAAAAAAATTTTTGTATGTATTTTATAATAATAAAATAATCTAAATCTTCAGTTCAATTAAGATAACAGTAAATATCTGCTTTATTTATAATAACAATTATGATTTTGGAAATCGAGTTTTTAAAGTACATTTGAAAATTTATAAAACCAAACTATTAAAAACTCATAAAGTAGATAGGAAAATTACATTAATTATATAATTGTTGATTTTAATAATAATACAATAGAAACTGCCAAATTATAGTTTGTGTCAATTGTGTCTCTATAACACAATTTTTAATCAATAACTCAAAATTCATTAGCCTTTTTATTTTATACTAATGCTACATAATAATATGTCTGCATGCTAATTTATACCTGAATGATATAGCAGGTTAAGATATTAAATCTTTACCCTATACACATATATATAATGTGATACAATAAATATTGTTGAATAGTTTTTTGAAAGTATTATTTGTTATTTTTAAAGCTGTAGATTTAGAATATGATGACAAAAGTATGTCAAATTTACAATAACTGTGTATGCAGTTCCAACAGTTTCACTTTACAACTTTGCTCCAGCACATTAATTTTTATTAATACTAATGTTTTTAACCTTTGAATGCATTTGATTTCATAAGTATCATATTTAATTTCAAATGTTACAAAAATATATCTTTTTAGGAAGTAAAGGGAAAAAATACTTTTTCCCCCTTTATCCAAATATAAATATATCCAAAAAATAATAATAGTAATTATGATGATAAGATTTCTTATAAAACCAAAAATCTGCTAAAATGAGGATATCATATGAAATTTATTTTAAAAACCATTTTCAAAGTTTGATCATCTTCAGTTCATCAATATTAGTGAAATCAAATGTTTACAATATTCTCAGAATGAATTTACATAGAGTTCAAGTTTTAAAAATACATGTAATTTTGCAGTTTAACAATGTTAAAAAATATAAAAATTTTAAATTATAAATTTTATAAAACTTTTTGGTAAAATAATGTACAAAAATTACAAAGTTATAAAACTATATTTTAAAACTATTTTAAATTATACTAATTGTTACATAAATTTTACAAAGTTTTCAAATCAAAATCTTAAATAAGCCTGCAAGCTTTTAGATTTGTATAATAAAATTGTTAATGATAAGGTTATTCTTTATTATCCATTTAGTTCAAAAATAATCAATTGTATTAAAAATATAAAAAAAATTTAATCAGTAAGAAAAGTTTGTTTCTGATATTTTGCAAATATTTTAGGTATCTTAAATTACATCTTAAATAATGATAAAATATCTTTAAACATTTTATCATTATTAAACAGTAATGGAAACAAAAAAAGACTCTAGTTGAATGTGGCTTTTATTACTGTTACTAAAACTTAGTAAGCTACATAAGCCAAGTTAATAAAATAGTTTATAAGTATCACACTTAATAGTAAAATTTACATTGCACCATATAAATGTATTGATAATATTTGGACTAATTCAGACTATTGATGCCATGCATTTCACTTCCCATCTATGTTCTTAGAATAGAATTGAATTGTTGGGTATAAGCAGTGATGACATTCGAAATATTTAACAAAGGGTTCGCTAACAGAAAATTTTTTCTTAACAATTTTTTTTTTCGCTCAAATGGTGCATCGGAAGNTAGCCAAAAATGTTCATTTCATTAGATTTTATTAAACTGTTTTCCAAGAAATAGCGTGGAAGGTGTGACTTATTATTAGTAGGTTCCAGCTCACCATGTAGAAAATTATAACAATTACAAATGTTAACAAATAGTAATTACTGTTTCTAAGATTTATATTTAATTTTGAACTCATTTTCAATGTATTTAAAATAATAACAGCTAATAATTATGAATATAATGTTAATATTCATAAAATAATTAATATTAATATTGGTAAACCTTTCCAGCATTAATATTCATAATCAATTGCACTTTGCCATATTCAGTTACAATTGATTATAATAATTTCTTTGTGTTGCAGCATATTTAATCATTTGTAATGAATTAAACTGTGAGCCTATAATTTTAAACACTACATTTATTTTGCAAATATTTTAGTATCTTAAATTACAGTTACCAATTCAATATGAAATTTGTCTATCAACAAATACAGTGCAGTGAGTCAGTTAAAATTTCAATGTTCTCTGCTATCTGTAATTCACATAGAATTTAATTTTATTCAGAAATATACCATTTTATTTTTGTGAAATGTTTTATACTTAAAGTGAATGTACTGATTATTACATGATCTGTCTGTCATTTATGATACATCTTATACATAAGATAAATCAAAAATGTCTAGTTGTTAACTTGAATCATCTAATATAATGTATTTGTCATAAAAATGTATCTGCAGACAGAATAATTTTTAAAATATGCAATAAATTTAAATTTAAAAATGATACTTAAAATGTAATAATAAAAATTTGAAAGTTTGAATTGATTTGCTGATGATTTGTATTTTTATAACAGGGTGCTCCTGGAGAGTATGGTCCAGTTGGTGATCCAGGTGTAATTGGCTGCAATGGAACTGATGTGAGGATAAATAAATATATGTGTTTTTAATTAGATTAATATGATAGTTTTATGTAATAAAATTACAGATAATAAATATACAAAAATGAAGTAAATGATTTAAATTGTACAACTTGAATGTCTTTTCACTACTCATATTTTTATATGTATTCTAGTATAAATTGCATTCAAGATTTTTAAATTTATTATAGATCTATAAAAACATCATCTTTGTGATAAATAGACAGTTTTATCTTCATTTTAATTTTCATAGACATTTTTAAGGTTCATAGATTATTTGAATTTTTTAATTACTATATATGAAACAATTTACTTTATATTTGTATCTATCCTATAAGTTTCACAAAATTTAATAAATCATGTAGACATATATAAATACAGTATAAAAAAAGCCGTGTGTTCAGAAAGAGACGTCTATTGTAATGAGAGAAAGGACCAATTGAAATTTCAAAACAAAATGATTACAGAGGTCTTCAATATATGTTACTAGTAGCTCGGGATGCCCCCTAGTGGGCGTTCTTTACAAATTTCCATGAGGCACGGTTCCTTTGACTTTTTTGTTCCTATCAATATGCTCTACAGCTGTGTTAAAGTCCGAATGGTAAGATTTATCCTCCGAATGAAGAGGTGGCGACCCCCCAAACTGTAGACCCCTGTACTAACAATAAAGTCAAAGGAACCATACCCCTACTCGCGACCCTTCGAGAGATATAAGCCCTGAAATAATAAATTCCTATTACAAATATACTGAATTATTTATATTGTTATATTGACCAAATAATAATTTATTGGCCAAATGAATATTAAAAATTTATATTGTTAATTTAAATAAGAATTAAAATTGTTAATTTGAATGTTTGAAATATGACACACGATAGGGGGCGCCTCTAGTGTCTGTTATCAAACGGTTACGGGACAGACGGATACCCGTTGAATGGGTTATATATATAGATAGTTATGTTTGAAAAAAATATTATTTTATAACAAAATGACATATATTGGACGTCAATTCCCCATTGAACTCTGATGTATTATGTGAGAGATATGTTCCAGACCAACATTAAAATTTATCAAACTTACTAACCAAACATTAGAATTTATATATGAATTTTAACAAAAGTTCTAAGTTTCAACAGAAGATCAATAAAAATTCCTATTGGTTTATCATTTTAATAGAACTATTAATTATCTGTATATATACTTAAAATATTTCTTTTGTTGATCTTTATTCTTTTAAAGTTATTAATTACACCAATTTGGCAATTTAATAGTTTAAAACTTTTATCAAGAACAATTTTACCTTTAGAACAATTAAGATATCTTTAATCTAAAATGCAAATAGATTTAAATGGCATGACTTGACAAGAATTTTATTGATGCAGTTAATGTCTAAAAGAATTATCTATATTGATACTCTATCAATTTCTATTAGAATGACAAATCAATAGAAGTGAATAGAAATTTTTATATTTTCAGTACTAATAAAATAATTTAGTTTAAGAAAAGTTTAATTATGTCAATATTGTCAATTTGTAGAAATTCACACAGATGATAATTTTTATGTTAATTAATTAAAATTGAAAACAAGTTTGTCAAAACAGGAAATTTTAAATTTTGGTGATCAAGTAGCCTAAAAGGAATGTTCAAGTCATCATGGAATGTATTCCAGAACATGAAAATGAATAAAAAGATGAATGTTTTGGTGGACTTTGTCTTCAATTTTAATTAAATAATATGACAATATTATTTGAATTAAAGTTTTTTTATTCATTTTATTATTTTAATTTAAAATTTTTAATCAAAGAGAGCTTTACTGTTTCTCTATGAAAAGTTGTTGATGTTTAAATAAAATGATTTATTTAAAATATGTATAAATTGATTTTATAATTTCCTGCTTATAATCTACAAGTGCAATTTTTCCTGAACAAAAATGTTTATCATTATATCATCCACAGAAGTGTATATGATCAGTAAGATAATTTTTTGTTGTCAAAAAGTTTGTCATATGATTTGTGCAAGTTTTCATTGTTATTTATTTGCTTCCTTGCCATATTAGTAAAGAAATGATATGATTTGTAAAGACAGTTAATAATAAAAAAAGTATTCTCAAATCTAAGAAAGAAACAATTTATGTTAAAGCAGTACAATAAAAGTTTAAAATACAATATTATAATATAGAGTCAGTCCCAATTTACAACCTTCTTGTCCAAAACTGATATATTAAGAAAATTATTTTTGTGTCTGAATAATTGATTACATTTGCTAATGGCATAGTACAGGGGTCGGCAGTTTGTCAAGTGAGAAGAGCCAAATTGTCATGGAAACAGTATAACAAAAGGATCAGAGAGCCGCATATATAACACGTGCCAGGGAGACTCTCCCCAGTGCGCGTTACAGGCATTCCGTGACAATAATAAATTCCTATTACAAATATACTGAATTATTTATATTGTTATTGGCTATTGGCCAAATGAATAATAATAATATATACTGTTAATTTAAATGTACGAAATACGACACATGACAGGGGCACCTCTATGGCTGATTTTGGCATAACGTTACATGGATAGACACGCATTCAATGGGATAATTATGTATATATATATATGCTTCAAATGCTGCCACTCAACAACACCGATACCCGGTCTACCATTCTTCGGGGAAAAGGTCGTGACCATCTCCGACCTTTCATACCTTGGATATACCATCATGCCTCGTCTTGCCACACAGAAACCCTATTGGCTAGACTTCGAACCGATATACCCCCTTGAACAATTTCCTCTATTCTCGACGCCAGTGCGCCCCCACTGTGGCTCGCCAGAAACTTCCATCCACTATTGGCTAGTCTGTCTGCAATATGCAGCCGGATGGCCGAGCGGTCAAGGTGGCAGCCTACCGCTCTGGGGGACCCGGGTTCGAAACCGAACGGGTCAAAAAAATCCCCAGGAATTTTTCGGGGGGTGGTCCGTTCAGATATGTCGGGCCTCGTCCCTCACCACCTGGCAGCCCCATTGTGGGCCTGGCCAAACTCATAATGGGCTTGCAAAAAGAGGCCCTCTTAGTGCCCACAGGGCGGAAAGAGTTAAAAAAAAAAAAAGTCTGTCCGCAATACACACGGGCCCGCCAAGAGGTAGGCCGTCTCTTAACCTTGGACCTTACGATTGTCCGAACCTTAACTCTGATATACTTGCCTCATACCGACCTTCCTCCTCGCCAACATATCAAAATCTTGGAGCGTTTTGTTCACTGCACCAACCGCTTTACCTAATTTCTAAGAAGAGTGATTCGGAGAAAAAGCCAACAGGCTAGAGTCTCCATATTAATAAGATAAGAAAGAAAGAAAGAAAGAATGCTGCCACTCGCATGTGACTCGTATTGATCAACGCAAGTGTGGTCATGTGCGAACGGGCTAGAGTGGTAGAGAGTATGCTGTACGAGTCGAAGTTTGTTCGGCGGCTCTATTTCATAAATTCATAAGTTATAAGGCTGCGGTGAAATGAGGTGAGGTAAAATTGGAGTTTATGTTCAAAGAGCCGCAAACGTCTATGCAAAGAGTCGCATGTGGCTCGCGAGCCGCTAATTCCGACCCTTGGCATAGTATAACAATTAAATGTTAAATGCAATACTATAATCTGTAATAAATATGTAGACTATATATCAATAACATATAAGTTAATTTGGGTTTAATCATAACTTAGGTTTGCACCAGTAACATTCAAAAATTGAAAATGAAATTAACTTTTCTGGAGAGCTGTTCTGTCCAAGATTATCATTTTAATTTCAGGTTTACAATAAAGCTAAAGTGAGTTAATAATAAATTAAATGAATATAAATTAACAATAAAAATAAAATTCTTTATTCTTTAACTTTTTTGAATGCATGTGTACAACTTATAGATATTATGAGAAGAAATGCAAAGACCCACTCCATTTGGTGGTAAAATATTGTTAAAAAGTTATAAAAGTAAATACTATCAAAATATTTTATATGTTCAAAGAAATCAGGAAATTTCAATCTGATACAGGCTACCTCAGCAGAATATATGTATAGTAAATTATCCAGTTTATTAAATAGTAAATATACTTTGTGCAGTTTAGTAATAAAGTGGTTTAATTGTGATGGAGTGACAGTTCATCAAATAGGTAAAATTGATTCCACATGAAGATTATAATACTCCTTATAATTTTTGGTTTCTTTTGACTGGTTTTCTTCTTTTGTTTGTTAATCTTTGTATTAGTAAAATATCTTAATTGTGTAAATCATAACCTTATTAGAGATTCTGGATTTGTTACCAGAATAAACTTCATATCAACAGTGAAGATGAGTCTTGCCATTCTTGATTGAGGTGTCAGGGTCAGATGCATTATTGATTATCTAGTCTAAAATATCTAAAGCTAAACTTAAAATATATTTTAAACAAAGATCAGCTCAGAGATATTGGATGATGAGCATGTAAAACACACTGTATTCTATTCATAAATATTCCAATTAATAAAAGTTAATATTCCATCTTATATATTTGTCTTTGTGTTTATCGAACATGTAAATAACAACCCATATACCCTGTAATATTTTATCATATCAAGAAAACTTCTTAACGTAACAGAAAGTAAAATGATTTTAAAGGATTTTTTTGATGATATAAAAATATTATTGTAGATTATACACAGTGGCTTATAATCTGCACCATCAAAATCTGAAGATTTTTTAATACATTATCTATAGATTATAGGTAGGAAATTTTGATACATATATGTTACTATACTGTTAATAAAAATAACACATGTTTTATATAATTTTTAGTTTATTTAGTTTCAAAATAAAGTTTTATATATATAAAAATTTATTATATTTTCTCCATATGTTTAATATCAATTTTATACATTCAAAAGAATAAATTAGATTTTTTTTTTAATTTTATAATGAAATAGTTAAAACAGTCAAAAACATTTGTTCTTAAAATATTGTATTATATATTTTAAAAAAATTAAAGGCTAATTGATATATTATATATGCTATTGGAAAAATAAATCAAATATTTTTTTTATATCTTTTATGAAAATCTAGAAAATGAAATCTAGTAAATGAAAATCTAGAAAATATGCTGCTTGCATATTTTAAAATAGTAACTTTTTAGAAAATTAAAAAGTACGATTAATATATCAGTAGTATACATTTTTTAAATTTATATTTATATTATAACATATATTACCAATATTACTAAATTAGTGTTTTTATAATGTAATATGTATATATAATAGGGAAGACCAGGATTACCTGGTGTACCTGGCCCTCCTGGACCAAGAGGATTACCTGGAGAACAAGGAAATCAAGGTTTTAGGGTATGTGTCAATAAAAATTTATTTTACAAATTAATTTATTCTTCTTTCTTTGTAATCATTATTTTCATTTGGAGAGCCCCAACATAGAGTTTCGGTTATGTATTAATTCTTTGATAACAATTTTAATTGCATTACAAAGAGGAAACCTTTGAGCAGTTAAAACTTTATACTTGAATGAACATTTTTGGCCATGTAAATGGCAATCTTAAGGTTCCAAAGGTTGAACTAATATGAAACTCAAATTTTAGAATACATAAAGAATGACACTTGCACACAGTTTCCAGAAGAATACAGTAGAATAATGGATTACATTGTATCAACAGGCTAATTATAACACTTCAGCTTCAACCAAGAGTGAAAATAAATTCTTTTTGGTGACATACAATGATGATCTGCACTGTCTCCTATGTGGTTTCAAGCTAGTCAAGGATTCAACCATAGCATAATGTAGGAAACCAATGGTTTATTGCTTGCTTAATGAGGTTCAAACATCAGGTTCAAACATCAGGTGTTTACAAAATACCCATGTTTCATCCCAATTTTAGAGTTGCATTGTCATATGTTAGATATACCTCAAGATTTGGTTATGAGTTTGAAGGAGCAGAGAACGGATATCAACACTAATAAATATAATATAACCCTAGTGGCTATCAACAAATATAAGATGGGATGAGGCCAGGATTTAAGAAGGTTTCTAATATGTCCAGAAATAGATTTATGAAGTTCTGCAAATTTATATACAGTGGATGATTGGTTAATGAACATAATACGTTCCAAGACTTTGTTCGCTATCCGAATTGTTCATTAACCGATTATCAATTCACCATAGGTTTGTATGGGAATTTGATTAATTCGTTCTGGAGACCCCAAAACATAAAAAATATATACTTTCTTACTACATTCATTTATATGTAATAATAAAAATACATATCTATGCAGTCTTGAATTTTTATTAGTTATGCTTTTTTGTTTGTGGGGGTTTAAGAATCTGTCTAATGACGATTACTTTTCTCTCTTCTTCAGGATTTTCATAAGTAATTAATAGCATTGTAATTGTAGAGAAGCCTATTAACCTCAACCTGGTTTGTATACTATTCTAATACTGTTGATCTGACATCCCCCACTTCTTCAAAAGATCTTTAATTAATAGCAAATATCGGCATTAATCCTGTTTTTCGTAATAAAACATATCTCGCTGAGTTTTTTGGTGTTATTCATTCAAGAGTTCTTGGCGCTCTTCTGTCATCAGATCCATTTCAGGTTCCATTATGAGCTCTTCAATGTTCTTTATTTCTCAGAAGTGATTTTTTGTTACTCCTTTAGCTGCTTGAGTCTTCTTGATTATACTGTATTTTTCTTAGATAAGATTAAACTGCAGCCTACTGTAGACCTGTTCAAGCCATCCTGCCCAGCAACATCAGACATCTTCTGCCCACTCTCTATCTTTGCTATTTTACCTTTCAAAAATAAAACTCAATGCAAAACTTAATGAGTGCCCACCCGACAGTTTCACGAATACTATAAAAGAATTGTTTCTGACAGAAAAATAAAAGGCTGGAATTACAAGGGAGAGTTTCAAAGTTTGGAGGAATACTATCTGATCAGTATATTCTGGATTGAGCGTTGATGTTGACATCTCCAACACCGAAAAGTTTCGAATTGTTGCCTGAAGACAAGGGAAAATCAATCAGTATTTGCTATTTTCATTGCTTCTTTTTATGTTTGTTCAGTGAAGTGTTCATTATCCGAACATGTGTTTGTTGTCCGATCATAAAAATCTTTCGTGAAAGTGTTCATTATCTGATTTATTTGTTAACCGATTACCCACTGTATAAGCCATTACTGTTGGATTATTAATAAGAAAGATGATACATTTCATTCATCCTGGAAGTTCCTCCTTAAGGAACACATCAATTTGACTTCTTTATTGTTTATTATATACTTTTATTCTCTTATTATTAGTTGTAATTTTTAAAATTAATTTCATTATCTTAATTTTTAATCTTTTGATGTTATTTAATTATATATATTTAATGTTATGTATTCTAGAATTTGAATTTCATATTAATTCAATTTTTGGAACCTGAGATTGCCGTTTACAAGACTGAAAATGTTCATTCAAATATAAAGTTTTGACTGCTCAAAGGTTACTTCTTTGTAATTTATTTAGTGAAGCAGTTGTTCATTACTTTAAGCTTATTGTAATTGCATATGAATATGAAATTGAATACCTATTTTTTATTAATACCTCATTAATTTTTATAATAAGAATGAAACAAGTCTTACTTTCTCATGAGTAAATTCTATTTAATCTTTGATTTACTCTAAATTTAAACACCTGCATTAGTACTTATTATAAAAATTGATATAATTATTTTTAGCTTATGCAAAACTTGCTATATGACTAAATTTTTGAAATTGTAAATTATTAAAATGATTTTTGCCTAATATACTGTAAATTTCAGCATATTAGTAGATTTGATGTATAAAGCCAATCAAGATTTTTAGTTCAAAATTCTGATTTAGACTTATAATTATTATTTTAAAAGTGATTAAAGTCTCTGGACATGAAGCAGACTGGAATTGAAATGTGAATAAGATATATGGTATTTATATTAGATATTTGTTGGAGATTTTTCAGACTTTAAAAGTTGGCTTAAATGTTGCAATTTATGTTAGTCAAATGTATTAGTCATTTGCTATTATTAAATGACTAATACATTATACATTAAATTATTAAAACTTTAAAAAATTGACATAATTTATAATATAACACAACATATTTAAATAGATAAAAGAAACCAATAATTAAAAATTATTAATATTAAAAATTTAGAAATTAAAATGGTTAAATTTTTAATAGCAACTAATTTATTTTTGATTTTAAAATGATAATTGATTAGTAATTCTATTCAAGGATTAAACATTTATTTGTTAAATAATATATTGTAAATAAAATATTTTTATTTTAGGGAGATCCTGGAGAAGGTGGAATTAATTCAATTGGTGTTAGAGGAGATCGAGGAGAAGATGGCTATCCTGGAGAACGTGTACATTAATTTTTAAAAGTTTTTTAATACCAATAATTGTTTTGACCATAATAATAATAATAATAAATTTGAATTTAATTTTACATAAGATTTAAATTAAATATAAAAATTTAGAAATTTATTAATTATTCTATATTGTAAAATATAAGTACAACATAGTGTCAAGTGTTGTCATGTCATATCACTTCTTGTCATCTGATATCATATCATATCATATCATTTGAAATCCCACACCACTAACATGGATCTGAAATGATATTTTTACTAGGAAATACTTTACACAAGTTTGATGTAGCATTCTAAAATATGATGCTATAGACAAGATAAATGTAGTTGCATTTTAAATGAAACACTTGCTTATAAATTTCATGAGTTTGAATGATTATATGTATTAAAAAACTTTAAAATGGAACTGTTTTCCTGTAGGCCTTGATTGGTGTAGTCATAAGACTAAAGTCAATCGGTAAGAACTGATTTAATATTCACATAAAATAATAACACCAATACAATATCCAGCAAAGGAAAAAGAACTTTACTGCAAACAAATGCTTTTATCTATCTAAAATGAATATTTTCAGGTTTAAGTGGTAGAACACAAAGTATGCTTAAACCTGAAGATGTCTGTTTTAGATGGATGAAAGCACTTGTTTGTAGTAAATTTGTTTTTCTTTTGCTGAATATTAATGTTTGTGTCATTATTTTACTTCAGTACTAACCCAGTTCTCATCAATTGACTTTAGCCTTAATAATGGCTATGCCAACCAAGGTCTACAGGAGACTAGTTGTGAAACTGTGCAGAATATTGAAGAAGTTCAATTAAAATTGACCAATTTTTTTTAACATCGTCAAATCAGTATTTTAAAAGACTAGTTTCATAGTATGATTCCTCCATGAAAACAATAAGTACAGTAGTACCTCAGGATACGAAATTAATCCATTCCGAAACTGAGATCATATCATGCAAATGTTGTAAGGTGAATCATTTTTCTTCATACGATTACATGTAAAACCAAATAATTCGTTCCAACACAAAAAACACACTCAAATTAAAGCTAAGTAGTACATTAAAAAGAAATAATAAATATAGTAAGGAAACACTGAAAAATGCATTTTGTAGTTGTAAATGTATAAATAACCGTAATAGAATAATAATTGATAAAAAAAAATGTAGTTTTATTTGCACTTTACCTTTGAGGATAGATGACAGTGGAGGTGTAAACTGGTGGAGGAGGTGAGGGAGAAGGGAAATGATACTAAAACTTAACTTACATAGCATAATGTAACAATAACTTAAAAATAACTTAACACTAATTTTTTATTCACTGCTTTTTGCTTTCTTTCCTTTACTTCCACCAGCACTTTCACTGGATAGAGGTCGCTTGGTAAAATATCTATCCAAAGAGGTTTGGCTTTGCCTACTTTTTAAAATGTTTCTAAAATGACTTAGGCAAGTGTCATTACTCTGAGCAGCAATACAGCCAGTGTGAACCTTTTTGGGATGTTTCTTTTCAATAAAATCAGTCACTTTCTGATAATACCTCAAGATTTCCTTTATCGAGCAAGATTCTTCCATGATGAAGCAAACACGCGGACTGAGACCGATGAACAGAAGTGAATAAAAAATGGCACTGCAAACTAATGTAATGTTGTATGGTCAGTTTTTGTTCATACCGTGGAGCAAAAATATGTTTGAATTTCTTGTTGTATCCTGAAAATTTCATATGCTGGAGCATTCATATCCCGAGATACTACTGTAAAAATATACAAACATTAAACTGATTAAAGGAGCCAAAATTTTATTAGATTAAACAATTTTTGGGAGACCTCTGTCTCATTGTCATATTCCTAGAACATTTGAATCAGAAAATTTGAAAAACAAATTGAACATTCAATGGAACTTTATAGATGTTCTTGTGCAAATTTTCTGATTTCAATGTTCTAGGGACCTGGTGAAGAGGTATCATGAAAAACATTTAATCTAATAAAATTCTTTATCCTTTAGCTTGTTTAATCAATTTATCATTTGTACATTTTTACTTGCTTAATGTTTTAAGTTATTAAACTGTCTTAAAGTTATTAAATTACACCAAAATCATTTATTTTTATTTTAGGGTCCTGTAGGATTAACAGGTTTTACTGGAGAGAAAGGACCAAGAGGCAGTCCTGGATTACAAGTAATTTACTTTTACATTAAATTATATTATTTTTGAAATAATTGTGACTGTTGTGTTTAA